CCCAAGAAAACCAGGCAGTGTGGCTTACCCAGGATAATCCAAGAAAACCAGGTAGTGTGGCTTACCCAGGATAACCTAAGAAAACTAGGCAGTGTGGCTTACATAGGATAACCCAAGAAAGCCAGACAGTGTGGCTTACCCAGGATAATCTAAGAAAACCAGGCAGTGTGGCTTACCCAGGATAACCTAAGAAAACCAGGAAGTGTGGCTTACCAGGATAATCCAAGAAAACCAGGCAGTGGGGCTTACCCAGGATAACCCAAAAAAGCCAGGCAGTGGGACTGCCATTGGAGTTATAAAAAATATAGATTTTAATTCTTTGTAAAAGTTACAATGTATATTTACAGTCGTGGTTTACCATATACAAAGAAAGCCAACATCATGCTGGGATATTTCACCCAGACTAATTCTAGTACATAATAACTACTTAAATTTAGACAACTCCTTAACCTGGCACTGGACAAGCACCTAAAGTCAGTTCCTGATCAGCCGGGCTGTGGCTCGTACGTTGGTTTGCATGCAGCCAGCAGCAACAGCCTGGTTGATCAGGCTCTGATCCACCAGGAGGCCTGGTCACAGACCGGGCCGCGGGGGCGTTGACCCCCGGAACTCTCTCCAGGCAAACTCTCCAGGTAAACGGTCCAAGCAGATCTACGTTCACATGCGTAGTGCTACAGAAGTAGATCTACGTTTTTTTTACATATTTTCAAATATAACAAAAAAAAATTTAGATTAAAGTTTTTTTACACATTTTCAAATGTAAAAAAAAAAAAAAAAAAAAAAAAAAAAAAAAAAAAAAAAAAAGGAGATCTACTTTTTTTACATATTTTCAAATGTTGAAAAAAATGTATGTATACGTTTGGACCGTTTACGGGTTAAAGATGTGACCTGTAACACCAGGTGTTCTTTCAGTGTACCTATTTACTGCTTGGTGAATCAGGTCAGCAAGTGTCTTGGAGTGTTGTTGTAGAAAATGTAGCAACCTGTATGTGCTACTTTCTCCTGAGCTACTGGATGTAGGACATATATGTTTCTCTCAGTGTATATATACTGAGAGTAATAAAGTAATTTTCCATGGGGAACTGGAGAAGAATCCTTCCTCCATAAATCATGTGTGTCGTAAGAGACGACGAAAATGTCAGGAGCAAGGTGCTAGTAACACCTTCTGTATAAATTACTAAATGCCAGGAGCAAGGTGCTAGTAACACCTTCTGTATAAATTACTAAATGTCAGGAGCAAGGTGCTAGTAACACCTTCTGTATAAATTACTAAATGCCAGGAGCCAAAGTGCTAGTAACACCTTCTGTATAAATTACTAAATGCCAGGAGCAAGGTGCTAGTAACACCTTCTGTATAAATTACTAAATGCCAGGAGCCAAAGTGCTAGTAACACCTTCTGTATAAATTACTAAATGCCAGGAGCAAGGTGCTAGTAACACCTTCTGTATAAATTACTAAATGCCAGGAGCAAGGTGCTAGTAACACCTTCTGTATAAATTACTAAATGCCAGGAGCAAGGTGCTAGTAACACCTGTATAAATTACTAAATGTGAAAAGAAGACAAACTGATTTCTCCTTTTTCAGGTCACATTGCTTGGGTGAAAAATAAGTTAACTTTAGTCCCTATTTTAGAGATTAGAAGCAGTAGTCTTGTCTGACTGTGAAGAGGTCATGCGCAGCCTCGATGACCCTTGTGTAGCCAATGGGGTTTAACTCCCATTAACCAATGGTGGCTGCTGATGCAGTGAATTATGTTAGCTGCACTTTTGGGATTCTGTCTCAGAAGCAGCTGTACAACAATTGGATGTGATGGGATGCAGTTCTCTTTGAACTCTTGTGTTTTTAGTCTGCTTTATGTCTGCAGAAATACAGTGGACCCCCGGTGTACAATATTATTTCATTCTAGAAGTATGTTCAGGTGCCAGTACTGACCGAATTTGTTCCTATAAGGAATATTGTGAATTAAATTAGTCCATTTCAGACCCCCAAACATACACATACAAACACACTTACATAAATACACTTACATAATTGGTCGCATTGGGAGCTGATCGTAAACCGGGGGTCCACTGTACTGTGTTGACTGGATGATGATAGTCATTTAAGACACCAACTGTTTTCAGTATACAGTGGAACCTTGACTTACAAGTACAGTGGACCCCCGGTTAACGATATTTTTTCACTCCAGAAGTATGTTCAGGTGCCAGTACTGACCGAATTTGTTCCCATAAGAAATATTGTGAAGTAGATTAGTCCATTTCAGACCCCCAAACATACACGTACAAACGCACTTACATAAATACACTTACATAATTGGTCGCATTTGGAGGTAATCGTTATGCGGGGGTCCACTGTATAATTCATTCTGTGACCTAGCTCGTAACTCAATTTGCTCGTACATCAGATCAATTTTCCTCATTTAAATTAATTGAAATGCCAGTGGCAGGACAAAATATTTAATTGCTTAACTAGCTTGTTACACTCTTACTGCTACACTATCACTGAACTTAACTGATGCAATTTGCTTTAATTCCATGGAAATCATTGTCATTTTCTTCTCAGCACTCTAATTTGCACTTATTTTCTTAGGACCCATGGTTAGAAAAAAGAAATTTGGCCAAATGACTGTAAAAAAATGCAAGCAAGCATGAGAGAACTGCTCCCACGGCAGTGTAAACATGTGGACTCCTTACCGGATGTTTTGCCATCAGCTGCGCCAACTAGTGGCAGCATTCTGAATTATTATGTATTGCGTATGTATGTATTATTATTATTTTTATTATTATTATTATTATTATTATTATTATTATTATTATTATTATTATTAATTTAGGGAACTGAAGCTCACTCATTATAATAATAATAATAATAATAATAATAATAATAATAATAATAATAATAATAATAATAATAATAATCCTAGGTAGTAGGTTGGTAGACAGCAACCACCCAGGGAGGTACTACCGTCCTGCTGAGTGAGTGTACAACAAAATCCTGTAATTGTTTTACATAGTAGGATTGCTGGTGTCCATTTTTCTGTCTCATAAACATGCAAGGTTTCAGGTACGTCTTGCTACTTCTACTTACACTTAGGTCACACTACACATACATGTACAAGCATATATATTTACACCCCTCTGGGTTTTCTGCTATTTTCTTTCTAGCTCTTGTTCTTGTTTATTTCCTCTTATCTCCATTGGTGGGATACGGCTGGTGTGTTGAAAGAAAGAAAGAATAATAATAATATATCTTTCTTCTTTCAACAAACTGGCCGTATCCCACCGAGGCGAGGTGGCCCAAAAGGAAAAACAAAAGTTTCTCCTTTCACATTTAGTAATATATACAGGAGAAGGGGTTACTAGCCCCTTGTTCCTGGCATTTTAGTTGCCTCTTACAACACGCATGACTTACGGAGGAAGAATTCTGTTCCACTTCCCCATGGAGGTAAGAGGAAATAGACAAGAACAAGAACTAGAAAGAAAATAGAAGAAAACCCAGAGGGGTGTAAATATATATGCTTGTACATGTATGTGTAGTGTGATCTAAGTGTAAGTAGAAGTAGCAAGACGTACCTGAAATCTTGCATGTTTATGAGACAGACAAAAGACACCAGAAATCCTACCATCATGTAAAACAATTACAGGCTTTCGTTTTACACTCACTTGGCAGGACGGTAGTACCTCCCTGGGTGGTTACTGTCTACCAACCTACTACCACAGGATGGTAGTACCTCCCTGGGTGGTTGCTGTCTACCAACCTACTACCACAGGATGGTAGTACCACCCTGGGTGGTTGCTGTCTACCAACCTACTACCACAGGATGGTAGTACCTCCCTGGGCAGTTGCTGTCTACCAACCTACTACCACAGGATGGTAGTACCTCCCTGGGTGGTTACTGTCTACCAACCTACTACCACAGGATGGTAGTACCTCCCTGGGTGGTTACTGTCTACCAACCTACTACCACAGGATGGTAGTACCTCCCTGGGTGGTTGCTGTCTACCAACCTACTACCACAGGATGGTAGTACCTCCCTGGGTGGTTACTGTCTACCAACCTACTACCACAGGATGGTAGTACCTCCCTGGGTGGTTACTGTCTACCAACCTACTACCACAGGATGGTAGTACCTCCCTGGGTGGTTACTGTCTACCAACCTACTACCACAGGATGGTAGTACCTCCCTGGGTGGTTACTGTCTACCAACCTACTACCACAGGATGGTAGTACCTCCCTGGGTGGTTGCTGTCTACCAACCTACTACCACAGGATGGTAGTACCTCCCTGGGTGGTTACTGTCTACCAACCTACTACCACAGGATGGTAGTACCTCCCTGGGCAGTTGCTGTCTACCAACCTACTACCACAGGATGGTAGTACCTCCCTGGGTGGTTACTGTCTACCAACCTACTACCACAGGATGGTAGTACCTCCCTGGGTGGTTACTGTCTACCAACCTACTACCACAGGATGGTAGTACCTCCCTGGGTGGTTGCTGTCTACCAACCTACTACCACAGGATGGTAGTACCTCCCTGGGTGGTTACTGTCTACCAACCTACTACCACAGGATGGTAGTACCTCCCTGGGTGGTTACTGTCTACCAACCTACTACCACAGGATGGTATTACCTCCCTGGGTGGTTACTGTCTACCAACCTACTACCACAGGATGGTAGTACCTCCCTGGGTGGTTGCTGTCTACCAACCTACTACCTAGGAATAATAATATATATGTAATAATAATAATAATAATACATATGTAATAATAATAATGATAATACATTAGTAATAATAATAATAATAACAATAACGAGAGGTTCAGAACACCACCAACTCAGTGCACTGTTTACCTCGCTATGGGATCATTTCTCTCATGTTTTCCATAACATTTTTTTACAGTCATTAAGCAAAATTTCGTTTTTCTAAGCATGGGTCCTAAGAAAGTGAGTGTGAAGGACAGTGCTGAGAAGAAAAAGAGGATAATTTCCATGGAATTAAAGCATGAAATCATAGATAAATAAGAGAGGTGTTCAGGTTTTGGATTGAGGGAAAGTGTGGGGAGCTGGCTTGTAACTTGGAGGTTGGCTCGTAACTCAGAGCAAAAAATTGACCGAGCAACCGCTTGTATCTCGAAAAACTTTTACGTTGGGACACTTGTAAGTCAAGGTTCCACTGTACTACTGAAGTATTGACTGCATTTGAACAAGCTGCTGAGACACTGTTCTTGAGTTTTCCAGTTTAATATCTTTATTATGTACCCAATACCCATCCTGTGGATGGTAGTCAAAAGATTATAGAGACATATAATGGGTCCAGGGACTGTACCTTAACATTACATAGGCACATACTGGGTCCAGGGACTGCACCTTAATTAACATTACAGAGGTACATAATGGGTCCAGGGACTGTACATCAACATTACAGAGGTGCATAATTGGTCCAGGTACTGTACCTTAACATTACAGAGGCACATAATGGGTCCAGGGGCTGGGCCACAAAGTTTTGATAGCAGAACAAGTTAGAACGGTAATAAACTGTTTAATGTATACACTTTTGTTGAACACCTGAGACACAGATTGGCTTTGGATACTTCGAAAGACTGAGTGTGTGTGTGTGTGTGTGTGTGTGTGTGTGTGTGTGTGTGTTGTGTGTGTGTGTACGTGTGAACAAGCTGAGGTAGCATTGCAGGAAGAGAATGTTGGGATTCTGTATTAGAGTGAACAGAGTGTTTAAGTATTTACTCTGTACCAGGAGACTGTTGAAAGGAACTTGTACTGCCTCCCTGGCAATCACCACTGTGTTGGGTCCCGCTCACAACACCTGTGCCGTACTGCTGTGTCTGCAGTGATGGCCCTCTTAAGTGCTGCAGTGGTGCTGTTGTTAGATGTTGAGTATTGCAGTTCTGGTTATGTTGCTGAATCTGCAAAGAGAGCTGCATTAACTGGTTTTGTACTATTTGCACAATCTGATCAAGGTGTTCTTTGAGAATCTTCTCTGAGGCAGCGCTGTCTGGCAGCTGTGCTAACCTGCGGTTCAAGGCCTCACGATCATGAGTGTATTTTAACTTGAATGATTTAAGCTGTACTAGCAGATCATTCTCTTCAATATTGTTTATGTCGTCATTTGCAACTTCACGGTTACCGAGAAGGACTGCCTCCTGTAGCGTCTCTGAGGGAACGTACTGTTCTACATTCTTACGGGAAGAGCTGCGGTGTCTGTTTGGCAGAACGTGTACAACCTGAGGGATTCTGCAACGGCTGCTCATCATTATGCGCAGCTGGCGAGGGAAGCAGCGCAAGGCATGGGCTACAAGCATCAATTTTTCATAAGATACCAAGTAAGAGGCTTGCTTCGATAACCGCTTGATCTTGCCCTGGCGCTGAAGGTCCGGGATATCGTTTACAGCCAGACCAATCAAGAGGTTGGCCATCAGCACACACACCAGGAACAAGAACAAGACCAAGAAGAGGCAGGTCATGATTGGCATCTCAAGATCCTCCATCAGGTTGCTGTAGTCAATCTCACCAATCATCATCATGAGAGTCTTCACCAGGCTGCGAGGGAAGCTTATAAAAGCCTCCTTCTTATGAAATATAACCATGAAGCTTATAGCAAAGCCTATGATAAGGCTAAAGAATGCTACAATGAACTTAGTGATGGACTGGGCCACACGGGAGAACATGAGGACATACGTGCCGAGAGATGGAAAGCGACCCAGTAACATCATGAACTCAACCCAACAGAAGAATGCAGAAATAGCAGCAGAGCGCCGCACAACCGGATTCTCAATGTGACTGTCAGTGTATCTTTCCACGAAGAATACACTGTATGTCATATTTGGTAAGAAGCTTTCGTATGTGCTTGACTGGTTCGTGGTGTCATTTGCTGTATCATTTTTTCCGAGATTGTCTGACACTTCTATAACACCTTCGAAAGGAATGATATGAGAAAACACAACAACGGCAGAGCTCCCCAGAGCAATGGTCTTGGTCAGTGTCTCCCACTGTTTTATATATTTTTTAAAGTTTGCAAACATGAAGATCATATCCGGGATAAGAATGAGCAGAAACATGATAATGTGTAGAATAAAAAAGATGGCAAGGCTATCAGTGTGCTCCTGCCACTTCCACGAGTTACCGCCGTATGTCATTATGATAAAACTAGTATGCATAAGGAGAAATACAAAATAAATTAAGACACTACTGTAAAAGAAAGGTTTGATTTTACGCCACTTAATGAAGAGAAAACTCTCCAGAAGTGGATGTTTGAGAAGAGGTTCAAGACGTGAGTTTGTAAGCTCTGACACGAGGGAACTCTGGATGCCTTCCTTCTCTGAGGACAAGACAGAGTAGTCGAAGGTGACTCTAAAGTCTGCGTCATGTTTTGCATTGTTGGAGAGACGGACATGAGCATCAAACAGACGTCTGAGGAGCTGAGTCGCAGAAGGGAGGTGCTCTAGGATGAGAGAACAGCGTGATATACCATCTCTGTCTACTCGTGTCAAGTGGTCGCCATGGTTGAGGAGCAGCTCACAACAGTCGATGGATCCGCTGTGCACAGCATAATGGAAAGGTTCTCGACCTTCATTGTCTGGTGCTGTAACTAGATGTTGTATGTGGCTGGTGGCCAAGAGGGTGTTGAGGCAGGCAGCACAACCCCGGTGGCAGGCAGCGTGTAATACTGACTGTCCCCGCTGGGTCACCAGTGTAGGGTCTCCTCCCAGGGAAATCAGTGCCTCCACTACTTTCGACATGCGATGATGTGCAGCTAAGTAAAGTGGAGACTCGCTCTGTTTATTCATGGCGTTGACGTTAGCGCCGGCCCTGACGAGTTCCTTTACAATCTCCTCCACTGTAGATTCCTTGCCTGCATCACAGTCCATCAGTAGAGCCTTGTGTAGCACACTGTTGCCGCCATAGTCACAACCGGCCATTAGTCTGTGACTCCTCTTATCCTTGAGAAGGTAACGGACGACTTGAAGACTGCGAGACTTGACAGCCAAGTGAAGGACGGAGCAATGGTCACTGTCCCTCAGCGTGAAGTCTGGATCATGCTGCAACAACAACACAGTGGAAGTGAGGTCGCCTCGCCGTGCTGCGCTGTGTAGTGGAGTCTCCACACGCACTCCTTTGATGGTGGGTGGAGGCTGGCTCATCATGTCAGGTGAAGCACCCTTCTGCAGCAGTTGAGCCACACCCTCATGCCAGCCTTCACTCACAGCCAGGTGTAACGCTGTCTGACCCAAGCCATTCACTTCACCCACCTGACAATCAGACAACACATATATGCTGTAATAACATTACACAAATGTAGTAACATATATACTGTACATATATAGGTGCTCCTCGACTTACGATGGTTCGACTTAGGACATTCCAACTTTACAATGGTGCAAAAGTAATTACTTTGGAGATGAAACTTAAGATAATTACCCAGCATTAAAGCAGTATTTATTTACTTTTCAATACTGTTATTTAGTTAGTTACAGTAACTGTTTGTTTATTTACTTATTCATCGACAGTAGTTATTTATTTATCATATATTCACATTCAACATATATCATATATTCACATTTATTTATCATATATTCACATTTATTTATCATATACAGTGGACCCCCGGTTAACGAACTTTTTTCACTCCAGAAGTATGTTCAGGTGCCAGTACTGACCGAATTTGTTCCCATAAGGAATATTGTGAAGTAGATTAGTCTATTTCAGACCCCGAAACATACACGTACAAATGCACTTACATAAATACACTTACATAATTGGTCACATTTGGAGGTAATCGTTATGCGGGGGTCCACTGTATTCACATTCAACGTAGCCCCATCATAAGGCGAGGAGCACCTGTGTATACTACAAATACATGTAATAAACACCAGTCGGCAGCCAAAACAAACTCACCTGGTTTTATTATATTTATTTTAATCAGGGAAAAGTGACAAACCTTGAGACAGGGACTGAAGAAATGATTCATTAAGTGACAGAAACTGTTATAACTAGACAGGGACTAAATGAATGACTTGCTAAAGTAATTACACTTTCCCATTGCTGCCCTAATTATACCTTAAGCTAGGAACTGTAGGAATATTACATGAATCACTTTTCCCACAGAATATGTTATAACTTAACATAGGGATCAATGTAATATTTCTTTAACAAAAACTAGGTTATAACACAGGGATCATAGTAATATTTCTTTAACAGAAGGCTAGGTTATAACCTAACCCTTAAACTGTCCAAACGTAAATCTACGTTCGCTTGCGTAGCGCTCCGAACTTAGATTACGTTTTTTACATTCTTATGGAGAAAATTAAGGTTGGGATCACAATGGTAATATTCCTTATATAAGTCACAGTAGCATAATGTTCACCTTAGCATCATGGCTGAGTAGCTCTTTTAAGACCCAGATGTCCTTGGTGCCACAAGAGGCATGGAGAGGGGAGGAGCCGCCATACCTGGCACTGTTGACAACCTCAGGCTCCTTCTGTAGGATATCCTGCAGGACTTCCATGTCACCTGTCTTGATAGCCTGTCAAGAAGAAACACTCCAGTTACTGTCAGTCTCACTGTCAGCATCGCTGTCAGTTATTTATAATTTCTATGTAAAGTCTTTCTTTTGATATACAGTGGACCCCCGCATAACGATCACCTCCGAATGCGACCAATTATGTAAGTGTATTTATGTAAGTGCGTTTGTACGTGTATGTTTGGGGGTCTGAAATGGACTAATCTACTTCACAATATTCCTTATGGGAACAAATTCGGTCAGTACTGGCACCTGAACATACTTCTGGAGTGAAAAAATATCGTTAACCGGGGGTCCACTGTAACAGTATTGTTTTGATGGATAATAACTCCCACAACCTACGTACTCGTTTATGGGTTTAGTGCTTCCCAGTAACAATAATAATCTATAATAAAGTACACCTACCATCCGACTTACGACTGAGTTCGGTTCCGAGAAACCGGTCGTAAGTCGAAATGGTCGTAAGTCGAACTTTACTACTGAATATCAACAAAACATTTTTGTAATGACTTTATTTTATTGTTTTATTTTGGTATTTCATGTTTTACTTTACTTTTTATGTTGTTAGTACTGTATTTTATACTGTAAAGTTTAGCATAAACACTGTGTACAACACACAGTTGTTTATTTCCAAGGAATTTGGCATAAAAAACACGGTCGTAAGTCGAGTGGTCGCATGTCGAGCAGGTCGTAAGTCGAGTGGTCGTATGTCGAGCAGGTCGTAAGTCGGATGGTAGGTGTAATAGTATTACAATAATAATTATAATAAAATATAATATAAATAATAATAATATATAATAAAATAATGATAATAGAGTAATAATTATATACAATGTAATATAAATAATAATTATGATAATATCACAGCGCTGTATGACCCTAGTGGCCTAGTATTTAGTGTTGATTATAATAAAACTTACTAGGAAGATAGGATGCATGGTAGTGTCAGAACAATCAAACTGTTGGTGGTGAGCAAGTGCAGCCATGGTAGAGGCGGTGATGGTGGCACCATTCAGTGTACATTGTACGTCCTGTGTGGTACCTTCCTCCAGGCCCAGCAACAGTGTACAGTGTCGACGACAACTACCAGCATTGAGTGTCAGAGGTGACTGTTGTTGTTGTTGGTTGTCACTTGTCTCAGTGCACTCTCCTACAGCATGGCCCCTGAGTGCACAGGAAAATATTTTTAAAAGGGTGAATTTCCTCTGTAAAGATGGTTATTGAGTGAGTGATGGTGAAAGTCCTTCTTCGAGATGGAGAACACTTCTGGTAAGATAGTTACTGAGTGACGGTGAATGTGGAAATTTATTCGTACCAAAAAATTCTATAGCCTGAGTTGATGTAAATAATTTGGTGTTGAGGTCGTGGGGATCCTTAATGCATCCTTACCCCAACAAAAACATTAAAATAATAGTGTGCAAATCGATAGATTTAAATCTTAGGGATGATTTTAGGTAGACTTAAATTGTTAATAATATTAGAATTAACACTGTGACTTTAACATTATATTAGGTAAGGAAGTTAGGTTATTGTGAAAGCTAGCATCTCTTTTGTACAAGCAAGGTGGTATAAACCTCAGTAATAAATATTGACAAGTTACCAGGCACAGAACCACCTACCCAGCAACACAGGAGTCACATCATCACATCATGTACCTGTTTTCATCCCAGTATGTCATTCTTCAGGTCACCAAGCATCACCTACACCTCACTCTCTGCCAATATATACTGTGTTGTAACCTCTGTATGTTAGAAGTGATCGAGGTTCCAGGACTAAAATGTTTTCTAATATGTCCTAATGTTTACTTGTTTTTCTAAACCAATAAATAAGATGAACTAGAGGCATGCAAAGCTGTGCCTCGTTTTTCTTCTTTCAGCTGTCATTTTTAGTTTTTTTTTTATTAACACATTGGCTGTCTCCCACCAAGGCAGGGTGGCCCAAAAAAGAAAAACTTTCATCATCATTTGCTCCATCACTTTCTTGCCAGAGGTGTGCTTACACTACAGTTATAAAACTGCAGTATTAACACCCCTCCTTCAGAGTGCAGACACTGTACTTCCCATCTCCAGGACTCAAGTCCGGCCTGCCGGTTTCCCTGAGTCCCTTCATAAATGTTACCTTGCTCACACTCCAACAGCTGTCATGGTGGTAACAGTTAACCTTTGACTGTTTACACTGTATATATACATCTTACGCGCCACTGTTTCTGACGTATTAATACGCGTAAATTCTAGCGGCTTCAAATCTAACGGGAGAAAGCTGGTAGGCCCACATATGAGAGAATGGGTCTGTGTGGTCAATGTGCACCACATAAAAAAAATCCTGCAGCACACAGTGCGTAATGAAAAAAAAAAACTGACCGTTTTTTTGGATTAAAACGCCGACTTTGAGGTGTATTTTTGTATAGTATTTATCGTTGTATTCCCGTTTTCATGGTCTCAAGTGATAAAATGGAAAACATATTACAGAAATAGAGATTATTTTGATTACTTTCACAAAGAAAACGACCTTGAAATTGAGCTCAAAATAGCGGAAATGTTCGATTTTTACCAATGTTCAGGAGTAAACAAATCACACCACATGTCCAATACACGTCAACTGGGGAGTCTAATATTCTTTCACTAGTGCACTGATATTATTTATACCATTTTTACAATAATGCAGTAGTCTGCATAACAGTAAATTTTGTATTTTTTTGTATGAATAAAAAATCAAAATAGAAAGCAATAATAATATAAGAGGGGCCTAGAGATGTGGCTGATGAACAGAGGATATGTTATTTTAGTGCCAGGAATGTCTACATTGTTTATTCTGGACTCTATTTTGAAATTGGCATCTTTTTTTAATTTGCGTGAAATTGGCCAAATTGCCAATTTCTGACCACTTTATTGGGTAGTTCAAATTGGTAAATGGGCAGTTTCTTGTACTCAACTGATAGATAATATGAAGTTCTAAAGAAATAGCTATGAGTTTGGTCGACTGGAACAATGGAATTGGCTGAAAACTGGGCTCAAAGTCTGCGAAATCGCCAATATGCATATGTCGCCGAGACCTCTAACTTCGCGGGAGCGTAATTCTGTGAGTTTTCGACCAAATTTCATACTTTTGGTGTCATTACCATCGGGAAAAGATTCTCTATCATTTCATAAGAAAAAATAATTTTTTTTTTTTCCAAAAATTTATCGACATAGGAAGACAGTTTCAGAAAGGGGCCTGCGACAGTCAAAGGGTTAAAGAGCTCGTAGTTCAAGTTTCCCACATGGCTTGAAATACTTGCCTGGTGACCAACGAGAATAAGACTTCTTGAAATACTGTGGATATTCATCTCTTCCCAGGGTCCCGTTGTGAGCATTACCTCTGCATTCAGTTTAGTAATGGGGTAGACTGAAGTGTTAATAATATAATATGGCTACTCTCCTGGCAACTCTCCTGGCAACTCTCCTGGCTACTCTCCTGGCTACTCTCCTTGGGTAGTATTATATGCATTAATAGTAGATTGTAGTCACGGTCCCTGTGAAGCCTCACTGTATCCTGTGTATTTGCGAATACAGCTCTTTCTCACTTCTTGATAGACCTAGAGACAAGCAGATGTGGACAGGCTATACTTTCCAAGTACAGCAAAACCCCTGTATCCGCATATCCTATATGCACAGTGTCAGTTATCCGCTGTTTGCCATGGCCTGAAAATAACCCCTAATTTTGCTTAATAATAGCCTCAGGATGCCGGGAGCAAGGGCCTAGTAACCCCTTCTCCTGTATAAAGTACTAAATTTAAAAACAGAAACTTTCGTTTTTCTTTTTGGGCCGCCCCGCCTTGGTGGGATACGGCCGGTTTGTTGAAAAAAAAAAAAATAGCCTCAAAGTGCAAAAGTAGTGAGAAGCCAGGAAGTGCTTCCCATCAGTGAAAAAAATGATAATTCTACACTTATTATGCATAATTTATAAATTAAACTTTATAATAGGTATGTATGTAATGAAAAATAAGTTACAGGGTTGGCTACTATCCACAGTTTCAGTATCTATTACAGGAACTTGGAATATATTCCCCATGGATCTGGGAGTCCTACTGTAATACCAATAATAACACCTCCGTATAAGTCTCTAGTGTCTCCTTCATTACCATTCACCCATTCAAGAACTCCCGTGATAAAAGTTATTTTTGGGAAAGCAGGGTAATTTAGCCATGGGTTATTCTGTGGCAGAACTAGCAGCCAAGATTGCTGAGTAAGTATCCCTTGAATATTGGACCAGAAGCTAGTTTCCCCATGTGTACATAAATATTGGTATAACCCCAATGAATTCAGGGACCCCTCAAGGTCCACACTGTAAATAAGTCACTTTGACCTTTTTTGTGTTATCCTTGATAATATACACATATGCTGCTATATATGATAATTTATGTAACTATTTATGTGTACCTGTACCTGAATAAACTTACTAAAGGTGTATGGGGATACTAACACCTATTAACTATTTGCAGGAATAATTTCTGAGCACATGGCATCTTGAAGAGAGGAGCCAATAGGACCTTAGATTATCCTGGAAGGAATCAAGGTGTTTCTGGCTAGTATATACTCCACAATAAAGGTAAGTCTATTGTAGTTTGTGCATGGAGAAAAAGAATTTCTGGCAGGATACATAAGTTCCAAGTGTAGCCTAGAAGTGCTTGTGAGAATGATACTCTAGGAGTCTTGTGTCAACTGTGGTTGCCAGAGTGAGCATCTCACAAGGTGTAATAACGTTGGTAGAATTACCAATAATATGTAGAGTAAAAGGACACAAGTGCAAATAATGTGACATTATATTGTGGCAGTATTTCACTTTCCGAGAACGTTGTCAAGTTGACATGACAAAGTTCCTGGAGACTTAGTTGAATATCTGCACCCTATACTCATCCTGTGGGTGGTAGTCACACCATACCCATCCTGTGGGTGGTAGTCACACCATACCCATCCTGTGGGTGGTAGTCACACCATACCCATCCTGTGGGTGGTAGTCACACCATACCTATCCTGTGGGTGGTAGTCACACCATACCCATACTGTGGGTGGTAGTCACACCATACCCATACTGTGGGCATTAGTCACATCATACCCATCCTGTGGGTGGTAGTCACACCATACCCATACTGTGGACAGTAGTCACACCATACCTATCCTGTGGGTGGTAGTCACACATATCATCCCGTGGGTGGTAGTCACACCATAACCCCTCCCGTGGGTGGTTTGTCCACACCATACCATCCTGTGGGTGGTAGTCACACCATACCCATCTTGGGGGGGATCACCCAACCCCATCCTGTGGGTGGTAGCACACCATACCCACCCTGGGGTGGTAGCACACCATACCATCTGGGGTTAGCCCCACACCATACCCCCTGTGGTGGTAGTCACCCCCAACCCATTGGGGTGGTAGTCACACCAACCCCATCCTGGGGTGGTAGTCACACCATACCCCCCCCTGGGTGGTATCCCACCATACCCATCTGTGGGGGGGTAGTCACACCATACCCATCCTGTGGGTGGTAGTCACACCATACCCATCCGGGGGTGGTGTCACCCCAAAACCCCCCCTGGGGTGGTACACACCATACCCATCCTTGGGGGGTAGTCCACCAACCCATCCGTGGGTGGTAGTCACCCCAAATACCCATCCTGTGGGTGGTAGTCACACATACCCATCCTTGGTGGTATCACACCATCCCCACCTGTGGTGGTATCACACCATACCCATACTGTGGGTTAGCAACATACCCCCATCTGTGGGTTTAAAAACACCATCCCCCAATTGGGTGGAAGAACACCATACCCATACTGTGGGCCCATTAGCCCCACTCAACCCATCCTTGGGTAGCCACCCCTCCTTCCTTGGGTGACCCCCAAACCATACCTCCTTGGTGAGCCACCATACCACCCTGTGGGGGTAGAACCCCAACCCAACGGGGGGCATTATCAAAAAAAAAATTTTAAACCCATGCCTTTGGTACAACCAAACCCTTCCTGGGGGGGTAGTCAAACCTACCCAAAACTTGGGGGTACAACCAAACCTATCCGTGGGGGGATCAAATACCAACATTGGGCATTTAGTCACATTGTCACCCTTGGGGTGGTATCCACCTACCACCTTGGGGGAGAAATCCCACCTGGGGGTGGATTCACCCATAACCGGGGTTACCACCCATCCCCACCGTGGGTTTCAACCCCTACCAACGGGGGGGAGTCAAATACCCATCCGGGGTTAGTCACCCCATCCCAAACCGTGGGGGATCACCCCCCCAAATTTGGGGGGGTTCACACCATACCCATACTGTGGGGGGAGTCTAACCTCCCAAACCCTGGGGGATCAACCAACCCTACTGTGGTGGATCAAAAGTTTCGATACGGGCTGGGCGTCCCCCGTTTTTGCTGCAAAAAAAAGGTAAAAACCCCTCCTGTTTACACCGGCCGGAGGCCCTGGTCCAGACCGGGCCGCGGGGCGGACCCCGGGGAACTCTCCCAGGTCCCCAGGGGGTAAGGGGTACAAAGGGCCGGGGGGCTTGACAAACCTCCGGGGTTTAAATTTCCCAAAAAAAAATGCACATTACCGGTACCCTGGATTATCCCCACGGCTCAATCTGTGACCAGGCCCATGGTGGATCGGGGCCAAAATCAATAGGCTTTTACTGTTCCTCAAAAAACCTGACATACGACCATACCCAGCGGTCAGGTACTG